AGCATTTGGCAAATGATATCTATTTCTTTCCTGCAATCATTAATAAAACAAATGTTCAAAGATAAACCAGGCCAGCATAAAAAATGATGCTTGTTTTGAATGCATTCTGTAAGTGAAATCATAATTGAAATCTCCATGGGGTTTCTTAAGATTGCTTTGCAATAATATATTCACTCTCTATAGCATTTTTGATAAATTTTTAGAGAATACGTTATTATTCTTACAAATAACATTATTCAACTTACAATGAATGTTATCAACCTCAGTTATCCTTAAATAATAAATGAGTTTATTCAATATTTTGATTTATGAGTAAATTCTTTATATGTTTTAGATAAAATACAATAAAAGAAAACTAACCGACATAGAACAGTTTTTTTAACTGTCTCTTTGTCTGCTTTTATGCTATCCAGTAACTGGAAAATATAAATGAAGAATTTGTGATATCTTAGAAAGATAAATATTGTCTCGTTGGTTAGGTCAAAAATATACTTGAAGCACATAAAATCAAATTTGTAGGATCAGTATGAAGGGTGAATAGAATATATATTTCATTCTATGTAAGGGTTTATTTCATGTCAACTTTATTTTCAAAAATTTTACAGTGTAAAATACTGATTAAAATTTTAAATCATGGTTCTTGGTGTACTAAAAGACATAGATCCATAGTTATATATGGTCTGTCATGCACCACTTTGGTGTAAATTTGTTGCTATCAATTTTGGTGCTGAGATATTATAGTACGAAGTTGAAATATGATGTGCTAAGAGATCACTTTTTGTTTATGAACCTAACTCTAGTTTTTTCATTTAAATTTGTTTGAGAAACTCTGAGGTTGAAAAAGAGAAAACCTAAATTCCGCTATCTAGACAAATGAGGCGTTTCCGTTCTATTTCTATGCTGAATCAAATAGATCATAATCTTTCGATGCAAAACTTTATATTCTTGCATATAAATTTGCATATTGAATTGATAAAGAAAATAATTTTCATAAATGCATTTTTGTTTTCCTTTTTGAACTCAAATATCCTAACACATCAATGTTCAAAATGAACCTTAAAAGTGGTCATAAATGTGTCACGTTTATTATTACGCATATTCAATGATCTGTATTTTGATTATTTGACGTCCGAATTAAGAAAATAAAAATTGTAACTCCACATGCAATTTAAGTTTGAAACTTTTTTTAAAGATTATCACTTCAGGAAGACAAGGAATTAGTTATTGATAGTAAATGTTTGGGCCATTGCTGCTCTAGGGCAAAAAATGATAGTCAAAACTACCGAAACAAGTTGAAATCACGGTAATTTTTACCGATGATCTTTGAAATTGACTTTTGGTAAAATGAATAATGAAATATGTTTTTATTTCTATGCTGTTTGGCATTAAATATGGCCAAATTTTTATTTTTGTCATGGTACCTTAGAGCATGAGATAAAAACTATTCTTATTTTACAATTATCTTGCATTATTTACTTTTCAGTTTTGTATTTTTACTAAATTTGTGGAAATAAGGATTATAACTTTGAAAACCAGAATTTTTGGTTACCATACGAGAAGAAAAATTACCAAAAGAATAACATAAATAATTTTTATTTTAGTTCATAATCAGATTTTTTTTTAAAAAAATTAGAAAAATCATTGCTTGGTAATTATACCGGAATTCCATTCTTCGTTAGAGCAACATAAAACTTTTATTATTTATACATGGTTTTTTTTAAAAATAGAATTGAGATAATGACGTTGTTAGGAGACAATTTCAGTCATTTTTCTGGAGTTACGTTAAACAATTGTATTTAATTGTAGATTTCATCTTAAATTAGCTAAATAAATAATTAAATTAAATCTTCCCTTATTGGGAAAAATCCGCTATCTTGAAAGTTATACTATAAATTTTAAACTGCTCAGAATTTTAATTAGAAAAATATTCAAACTATCTTAAACTGATGAACCAAAATATTATTAACATTATTATTCCGGTAACCCATACATTATTGTAAGGCACGTAGTAAGCTAAAGCAGCGAATCATATGTCGAATTAATTTAGGTAGGTAAAATTCTTAGCCAATAACGAGTACCTCTTAAGAAAATATTGACTATTCTTCTAAAAGGCTTAAAGTGGAGCCTTTGCAAGCGATTCTCTAATTCATTAGTTTCGAAAAGATAACTAGAAAAGTTAAACATTTACCAGGGGTAATAAAGCTGATAGATATCTACAAAATAATCAGAAGTTAGTACAAGACTTGTATTCAATGAAAATCGATTGATAAATTACAGTGTTAAAAATGTTATTTACTTACTAAACAAATGTAAGACGCGGAAATTTTGCACTCCGCTAATTTAGAAGCAGGAAATAATCATAAAAAAATACCTTTTCCTTTAACTCCTTAGGAAATTCGAAAATTCCGACCTCAGTTAAAAATCTAAATGATTTTTCTACTCATCTATTTTTTTTTCTTTATGGTTATATTTTCTTTTTTTCAATATTGGTTCTATTTTTATATATACAAAACATTTTTAATTTCGCATTATTATGAAAACTTATTGGAATATTACATACTTCCGATTATTGGAAAAATAAGCTTCAGCTAAAAAGAATGTAAAGGATAAGGGTAATTTTGCAAAATGTGCGATAAATAATTTAGTTGGCAAATTCACGTTCAAAAATTTATAAATACTTATGAGCTTATGAAAATTTATAAATACTTATGAAAATTTATATAAATTAATACTTATAAACTACCTGTAAAAAAGATTTAACCCCGAGTGGCTAAGGACATTTCTGATACCTTCCTAATTAGTTTAAAAACTCAACCAGTCAGGTGGTGGAGTGGTCGGCGTGATTGACTGTGAAGCCCATGGTTGCGGGTTCGAATCCCGCTTAGGACATGGATGTTTCTCTCTATGTGTTGTTCTCTGTAGTGTGAATGTGGACCACTCTATAAACGGGTATCTGTGGCAGTGTGGCGTGGGTAATGTTGCTCGCCTCCGGGACTTAGGTTCACAGGTGCCCACCGGGTAACGTTAAATGAACAACATTCCCGGCACTTTCAGAGGTAAAGAATGAACGATCTGTTCCTGCCGTAGAAAAAACATTTTGAAACTTTTGATGTTCTTTACTTCTAATTTATTAAGAATATAGAGAGATGAAAAACGGAAATCACAGTATAAATCTTTTACAATTATTTTGTTTAAAAAATTCCTAAATATCAAAATATACGACTGCTACGAATGCTATTGGCAAAAACTCTTTTTATCCACTGATTTAAATTGAATGAAAATGTGCTCAATACAGTGTAAATATTATATAGGATTGCTTGTTAAATTAGTTTTTTTTCCTAACAGAGCACTTCATTGTATTTTTTCACTGTCATCTGCACAATTTAGTCGTATAATCATCATAGGGGATAGAGCGTTCGCCTTACAATGAGGTGAACAGGGTTCGATCTCGGCGATGGCTGGTTGATACGAATTCCGCATACGGATTGCACCGACCACAGTGCTGACGTGAAATATCCTCAGTGGCAAACGGATCATGGGTTAGAGTCCTCTTGCCGTCAGGCTAATCGTGGGAGGTTCTCGTGTTCTGCCTCTCCATGTAACGCAAATGCGGGTTAGTTCCATCAGAAAGTCCTCCATGAAGGCAAAATTTCTACCAATACTTGATCCAGGAGCTTCCTCGTCTTCTGGATTGTGTTCAAAATTACAAGGCTATGGAGATGAACATTGGAAGTCGTATACCCAAAAATTGGATCGGCTGTTCAACGACGGTCATAAAATAATATAAAATATAAATCATGAAAGCTGATATAGGAAGGCCTGCTAGCGTAAAAATTCGATTATTTTTACGTAGTAGTTTTTGATTGGTGCCCTTTCAAACAAAGAAAGTGAAAAGCATCATTTTCGGTGCATTTTACTTTTTTATTATCAGAAAGGTGAAAATGCTGTTCAGTCAAGAAAAATATCTGATGTGTATGAAGAAGATGTATTAACAGTACGCCAGTGCTGATAACTGCTTTGTAAAATTTCGATTACGACGCACGAAGATGCCCTGCGTCAGTTTAGGCTGAGAAAGACTCAATAAAGGAATTAATTGATGCATGATCGTTTGAAATGCTTAGGTTTATTCTCAAAGCTTGACACGTGGAATCCTCTTTTTCTTACGGAAATAAATTTATGCCGTCTTATTAAATGTTTGTGATTTGCTTTCAAACCTTAAGAAAGTTATCCATTTTTGAAACGCATCATCACTGGGGACGAAAAATAGGTTGGCTACAATATTTGTTCAGGTTTTCGAACCTTTTTCAGACTTTCAGGTCTATGAAACTTTTTAGATAGTAATACTTGAGTGATTTCTAAAATCACCAAATGAAAAATTCAAAAATCACCCGGAACAGTTTTTTTGCCCGTAACGAACAAAGATTTTATGAGAAATAAATCATGCTAGAAAGATCGTAAAAAGTATTAGACCAGAATGGACAATGCATAATTACAGGACCTTTGATTTTTAACACATTATTGAGTTCAGAATGCTGAGTTTATATGATATCCAGGAAGAAGAATCAAATCACTGAGTACTCACGTTGAGTTTTTATTTAAATTTATTGATTTTATAAGTTTCCAATGTAATATTTGAACACACTATTTAAGGATATCACAGATCTAATGTTGTTTGCAAATCATTAAATGCATCAGGTAATTGTTAAAGAACCTATTATTTTCCATTTCTTTCTTAGGTTACTAGTTAATGTTTAAGAGTAGGAATAGCGCTTTATATAAAAAGTGACATAGTTGCCTAAATTGTACTTCTTGGTACGATTTAGGGGCCAATTCTAGGGTACACATCTGCACACGTAAGTTTAATATCTTTCAGTAACAACTTAATTTATATCAACAATTTTTCTAGCAATAAAAAAGTCGCACTTTCTGTACACGCATGAAGTTCATAATATCACATAACACTTTTGATTACTTATTTAATGAAAATAAATTTTGCCTACCTTTTTCCGCATAATCCCAGTTCTGCTTCTTTTGGATGGTCATTTAATTCATTCAAAAAATCTTGATTCTTTGGAGTTGACCAGGAAAACTTGATGAATTATGTTACAGCTGCCACAACACATGACGTATCTACTGGACAGGTCATTTTTCAAATCCATTTAACTGTATTTTATTCAAGCTGTTGAAAAGTTGTTTAGAAGTTAGCCTGGTCACATTATCCCACTATACCAAGATTAGAGTCTCGTTGCCAAGGCTTACAATAGGACAGCAGCAATTGAAAATCTCGTTCAATGATTTAAGTTTTCTAACATGTGTCTCAATGATCCACCAGTTTTAAATAAAACTGACTTTCGCCAGCTGAAACTATAATCGGATACAAATCAATCAGTTGAAAATGATGAGCCTCCTCTTCATGGAAATAATGATACATCTGCTAAGAATTCAACAGACCAATTTGCTTCAATGCTTTCATCAACACGGCATGTTTCAATAGTATTAATTTCCATGATTCCAAAACCTAAGAGGAAAAAAAAAGTAGATTTTAAATCACAAACAGCTCTAGCTTAACTCTCCAAAGAGATGAAAGTTAAAATAGAGAAGTTAGACCAAAAAACCTAAATTCAGTTCAAAAAGCCAAAAACAGTAAACTTAAAATCAAATCTTCTAAACAAGAAATCGAAACAAGTTAGGTGTATAATGAATCAGAAAAATCTTTTTTTTTTTAAGGATGATGTAATCATTGAAGTTAATCCTGACGAATGGTTTGCTTTATGTGTGAGGCTCATTTCATTGAAGATATGGTGCAATATTTGCTGTATGGAACTCGGGTTCATGAAAAACGAGCCTGCCAAAAGATATAAAAAGGAAGTTGCTCGTGGTACCTGAAACATAACTAAACCTAGAATCAAATATTGAACATAATAATTTGTTTTATAAGCTCTAATTATTTTTATAATTATGTTTTTATTCTCAAGTAAAAGTCGTACTTCAGCTTTCTAGTAACAAACTGTTATGTTTTATGTAACTTTTTTGACTTTAAATACCATTTACTGAACTCGTAACAGTTAAGAATATTGTATTTTACATTATAATACTAAAAACTTGTTTTGGATTACGTATTGCTGACTTACTTTAGTCTTTTTTGCTCAAATTTTCTAGGTCGGTACGATTTAGGGACCTGGTGGACGAATTACACAATGAGGTTTTTAAATCATACCACTTGCAAAACTTGTAAAAATAATTAATTTCATGTACTTACTGCACAAATTTATTAACGAAAAAGTAATATATGTAGCAGCATAACTATATTTCATTAATAAAATACTTTAAATTCAATTATCAGAAGTTTGTCTCTGTTAAATGTGCTACGATTTAGAGAACACTCCTCTAATGAAGCAGATCCTATTAAACAGTTTTCTTGAGACATAACTTTTGACTGAAATAAAATATTAATTTAAATTAACGATCTCTTGTAGGCTTATACTAAATTATCCACTGTACATTGAAGTGTTATTCATTATAGACTCCACCCAAATTTTTCATTTATATTACTCGACTACGCTTTTTTTACTCAGGAGACAGAGCGTTTACCTTCCAATGAGGTGAACCGGGTTCGAATCCTGGCGAAGGCTGATCGGTACAAATTCCACATCCAGCTAGCATCGATCACAGTTCACCGGAAATAGTGACTTTCAAAATTATAGTTCTTATTTAGCACTCATTCAGAAAATATACAAAACTGAAATTTTACCAAATAAATGGTTTTTGTGCCATTTTAAAAAATATCATGATAAAATTGCAAAATTTAACCTCATTTATCAAATTTTATGACATTGTAATAACCATATTTCATTGTTAATTTTGCCAAAACCATTTTGAAGCGGTTATTAAATTAATGAACTTAATTCGGCAAATTAATTCGGACAAAATTACCGAGCTTTTTGGTGTTCTTCTAGAGACAGAAATACGCTAAATTTTTACTTATTCTGTTTGTTTTGATTTCACGTTTTTTCGCAGTGTTCGGTTAACAGGGTCGATTATTGGGTACTAAATAAAAGTACATCTCTTAATGACGACAATCACAATACTTTAAATGGGATCTAAATACACCAAGGCTTCTGAATGAACCTCACAATAGTGACCTAGTAGTAAAAATATTTTAGCAAACATTCCTCACACATAAAAGAAGCAATAGCTTTTAAAAAGTTGTAAGTATTTTGCATTTAATAAGAATCTTTCAAAACATCATCATTTATAATTCCTAAATAATAATTCTGTAAAAATTACCAATTTTTTCTGGGTGGTCCTATAGAAACAGATGAAAGGTAAATTTAACCATATTCTGGTTGTTGTTGGCATATGTCTGTTAAGGCAGAGGTGTGTAATTGTTCTTGCTTTCCAGTGGCGACATCTATGGCCAAGAATTCGGCTTCTACCACACCCATACGTCACACCTGTTTGTAGGGTGTGACCCATTCATTCATCCACTGATCGTAATTTTGACCTGAATCAGAGAACGATCAATCTGCAATTGAGTACCCCCACAGGTTTTGATTTGTTATGGGAACATGGAGGACTTTGCGACTCGACAGATTTAACTCGCATCAGTCAGCATTTTACTACGGTCAGCGGGGTTCAAACCCGCGAACTCTCGGATATGGGCTTAGTGCCCTACCGACCAGGCTATCCTGGCCTTTACCATATTCTGGTAGTTTCAACCATGCTTTTTTTTCGCAGTGTTCTATTAAGCAATTACTTTATTCAAAAAAATAATCAAATTAGACACTAGACAAAGTAATTTCTTTTTGCTGCTTGAATTGTAAATGAAGTTCATTAGAGTTAAAGAAAAGGCCTAATTTTTAAATTTAATAAACTTGCATAGAACAGAAAACCCAGTTTTGAAATATTTATTGAAATTATTTTAAGAAATATTTGAAATGATATTTCTATAATAAATAAAACAAATGCTGTTAGAGATGCATGCTAGGATGTTTAAGTTTTGGAAATTTTTTAAGAAACAATGAATACAACATAGACAGAAGTAGTGTTTATAATAGAACACGCTTGGCCGTCTAAAGGTTAATAGAGTTAAGGTAAAATAATAATTAACAATAATTTATGAATACCTTAAGGACTGGTACATTAAACCAGTTATTTTACATGTTAAAACAGCTTTTCAGTTCACATTTGTAGTTTTACCATAACATTTTTGAAATATTTTTAAATTAAAATATATTTAATATGGTTTAATCACTCTTTTTAAAAAATTCAAATTTCACTTATTTCAAAAAAGATAAAGGTTTTCAGGTCGTAATTTTTTTTAAATATAAAGTTAATGAAACAGTCATTTTTATAGACAATATTTGAAATTTAATAATTATAAATTATCTTCATATAAACTTAAATAAAAGCACTCCTTTCATTAAATTATTTGCATTAAGAGGTAAGGGCATAAGTATTCACAATAAAATTAAAATAAACTTTTAATGTTTTCGTCGTTTATATTTGATTTTACAGCACGAAATTTACCAATCCAACTTTTTTTTGGCTTTTTTATTCTATTTTAAACAATTATTATGTGAAATTGATTCTTTTTGTGAGCATTTTTACTTTTAGATAAGATATCAAATAATGAATATTATTTGTCAAAAATACATTAGGGTAATACATTGTAGAATTTCCATCTTGCGTGTGCATCTGTAACCGTGTCTGAATAATATATTTTCTATTTCCTTTCAGTGATCGTGTATTTTTCTTTTCTATAAAGGAATGCACCATTAGGTTTTCTTATAAAGCTTAATTCTTTCGCTACATTACTTTGGCGAAATTAATTTTCTGAAAGTTTTTGAAAGGTTTCTTTATGATTATATATTGACCAGATTTTGAATAGAGTATCCGTCTTAGTTTAGAATAATGGAATTAAAACATACAACTTTATAAGAGTTAAGTAACTGGTATTGCGTACTAACTTAGCAGTAAATGTTTTACTGTTAAATTTTAAATATTTATTATAAACTTTTCTTTTTATTTAAGACTAATATAATAAGAAAAATTGTATGTGTGACTGTGTTTAAAATGAAACTAGTAATTCATTATGAATAATACGATAATTCCAGATAGTCATTATCGATCTTAGGAAATTGCAATACATGAGGACATTGAGGCGTTTAGTTGACTTTATCAAAAAGCATCAGTGTACTATTTTATTTCGATTTTCTACAAACTATTTAAAATTTATCTTAGAATTTTGAAGGACTTGAGTTTATTGTAGGCAAAAAGACTATTTAAATGCAAACTTTATTTTCATATAATACTAAGGAATTGTAAAATTTAGTTTTCTTTGGAGCTAAAATTTGAAAAAAAAAGAGATGAAGAAGAATTAGAGGAAAAAAAGAAGATATGTATTACGCTTGATCAGAGTTCTAAAAGGCATGGTAATGAGTCAAAACAATTTTGAATAGAATTTGCTAGCTCAAGAAAATAGAATTTTTTTTTTAAGTTAAAAAAAGACATAGTAGAAATAAATGTAGAAAAAAATTATTCTGACCAAAAATTGTTAAATATTTTCCAATATTTATTTTATTTTTATATCAGTCTTTGAACAGCCGATCCAATTTTGGGTTTACGACTACTGATGTTCAACTCCGTAGCCTTGTAACTTTGAACCAATCCAGAAGTCAAGGAAACTCTTGGATCAGTACCCGCAGAGGTATTGATTTGTTATGGGAACATGGAGGACTTTGCGACTCGACAGATTTAACGTGCACCAGTCACCATTTACTACACGGGGAGTCTTCGGCAGGCGGGGATCGAAACCACGAACTCTTGGACATGGGCCCAATGCCCTACTAGCCATGCTATGCCAGCCCTAATGTTTATGTATTACTATGAATGTAAGAAACTTACTTGGCTCATACCAGTTACCAAGTTTTAACTAAATACGTTTACTAGAAGTCGACAAATCTTGCGCGCAAGCTTTAAAAAATGATTAGTGAAAAATAGATTTAAAAACAAAAACTTAACTAAAATAATATAAGTCTATTAAATAACTTTAGAGTAAATAACTTTAAATTAAATATATCAGTTTGCCGATGATTCCAGTTTAGAAAATAGGTGTGTAATTTTCAGTTTTCAGTGAGTAGGTTTTAGTATTTTGTTGCTGCAACTTTGGAAGTTATTTGAATATTATCTTATACTATTATATTATCTTAAACTAATTTCTCACTATAAAGCGAATTATACCATATATTTGTCATAAAAAATCAAAAATTTTGTTAAGAAAGATGATTTGAGGTTCTATCCTTAAATATGCAAATCAATTTGTGAGACATATTTTAAATTTGAAATCAAGCACTAAAATATACTTCTTAATATGAACCTCATTCCCAAACTTCTTTTCTGAACAAGACTTTTCTGACTGGCTTGAAATTTCTACCCTCAAAAACTCTTAATTTCAAATTAAATTACAAGATTTATATCTGAAAAAAATCCAATCTCACACTCTTATTTTTTACTATA